GTAAACCCGTGCATTTGAAATGCCACCAGGACTTGCAGGCGTGGCATTGCATACTGCGTTTGACGTTCGACGGGCAGCCATTCCGCCCACATCTATTGTGGTCTACGAATGGCTGCGGAGGGCGATCGGTATGGATTGACGTCATGTTTCGGACTAGATGTAAAATAGGTGTGCTCAAAATATAAAGGGTTATCACTCAAATGTTTTGTTAGAGTAATAAAATTCAACAATTACTCGTGTGTACTCTGTGAATAGATTGAACAACGAAAAAATTTTCACCTTGATTGATGACCTTGAATATTTGCGCAATTAAACAACTCACCCACATACATAGTTAATTCAATATAACAAAACGTTTTATGCTATGAAGTAGCTTTCGAGAAGTCAATTACATTGTGCGAATACTGAGTGTCTTCGAAAGGTGTGGTATCAGTTCGAATTTAAACTAAACGAATTTGTTTTACTGTATCATTCAGTCGGACTGTTTTCTCTGTTCTCCAATTTGAGTGCGACGACTGCTACTTGGAATGGAGGCTGCTGGTGACCCCAAGGCTGTTTTGCAGGATATCAGCAAGTTTGACAAATCCGGGCTTGGGCATGTCGTTCCCGAAGAGAAGGTGGTATTGCCATCAGCAGAAGGTAAGTACTAAGTCATCCGAGGGCACTGTTGTTTCGTGGTTTACGTATTTGCATTAGCCTATTCACGTTCATTTATTTCTGCTCTCGCCTGCTGATGGACTCGTCAAGCAGTTGGCTAAGGTTCAAGCTACTGATGGTAAGTGTTGCAGTTTGAGCAAGCACCCGGATTTTTTTTAGAAAACTTGCATAGACCGCCGATGGCTATCGCGTCAGTGGGACGAGTAGGATAGTTATGTGGCTAATATCACTGCTCACTTTGTCCCCGTTCCACTGAGGACTGTTAACCAGAACGGGACAACTTGTCACTGTCTCGTCACCCCAGGATGTGTGCGCCTCAGATTATATTTGTCTATAAGCCGCTTAAGTTGGTAATTTCGAGCAAATAGTCAGTTCACTAGTCGCCCCCACAAGATGACTCTCCTTTGCATCGTAGCTCCTGCGTGTGGTTGTGCATACCTGGCTAACGTCTGCGTGAATCGTCGCTAGCTGCGCTGTTGAACTGGGCTGACGGGAACGGAGTCATCACATTCCACCAAGTTGATAAGCCAAACACACTTGGAAATTCGGAATTTAAGTCCTGCAGCGGAGATAAGCGGTTATTTTTTTATATACGCTGGTATGACAGAAATGACGGTTGAGTGCTTTCCTCCCGATCTCGTAAAGCCTTCGCTTGGCGATTCGTATTGAACGGTGGAAAGTCGGGTCAGTACTAATCTTGATTGTCGCTGATGCGGCCTTCAGTGCGCAGCAGTAGTAAAACGTTGACGTAGCCCACCAAGAGCGGACGGGTACCGTAAAGACAAGAGGCAATCATAGACAAGTATAAGAAGAAACGTGGCCATTTTTGGTTTCCTTGTTGCTTCCCACTCATGGCCCCTTGTTTTTTTTCCTTTTTCAATGTACGACTATTGTAAGCTGGTTGGAGGCAATGCAAGATTTTGTTAGGTCGTGTTTTTTTAATTCTGCGGTTTTGTGATAAGCGGCTGAAGTATTTTCCGATCAGGAGTCGACGCGATGTATTGATGTGCAGTCTGTATATGAAGGTGATAGGCACTACTCCAATCGGATTTGCGCTCCGGGTATGTACAACACTTACAGCGAAGAAATTTTCCTTGCATAGTTGGTGACAACGCCAATGATTTATAATGAGGTCACCCCAATGAACTTGCGTTTCGAGGGTGAATAGTTGTCTGCATGAACACGGGGTTTGGCATCTTTTCTTTTACCTGGGGGTCTCCACGGAGACTGCAATGTGCAAGATTCATCATCATCATCATCATCATCATCAATGACAGCCAGTGTTAGCACTGATGCTTCACTGCCGTCCTGTGCAAGATTAGGGACTAGGTGTCCAAGCTAGTTCGTAGGGTTTACTCAGTAGGCCCCGAACTTCTTACGTGGCCTTGCTTTGCTCGAATTCGGTGGGTGTTATCTTTTTAGGACTTTAGCTGCATGGCTTGTATGCTAATTTCTGGTACTTTGTGGTAATGCTGGAATAAATCGACTGAAAGTTGACAATTTTGAATAGGTTCAGGTTCCTTTTTAGAAATCTTAGCCTCATGGACGTCCTCAGTGTTGCTTACCAGACAGGTCCGTGGATTTGAACGTTCTGAAGCCACATTTACCACCGGTGCGTCCCAGCTGATCACCAACCGATTGCTAGATGTGTTTGTGGATGTCGTATTTGGACGACGTTGCGTTTTTGGCCGCTAAATTCTGGGTTATTCATAACCATTCATAGAGCTCATTCAGGTCAGCTTGTGTCATTCTGTCATCCTGGCAATGAGTCAGGTGGCAGGTTTTAATGTTTCCCGTATAGGCTGCTTCTGTTGGGGCCAGAACCCGGCTACTGAAGATATTTGATGGTTTGTGACCGGGCATGGAGCCCTGTAGAGCCCACCGGGGGCGAGATGGCTCAAGTGGTTAGAGCGCCAATTTACTAACCGGAAGGTCCGTGGTTCGAATCCGACCTCCGCCACTCGACTTCTGTCTAGGCTTGGGCAACCTGGCAGTATCCCAGCCCTCGGGCTTCCTTCGGTGGAGCCCACTGGGTTTGAGGTGTGGAGTCAATATTCCGTCGACGCTGACCGCGAATGTTCTGTCCGTGAGATAGTCATGGGACTGTTTGGACAGTCTGAGGCCAACAACAATTTTAGGTGGTTATAAAACAACCTGTGGTTTTTATCAAATGGCGTCGGTCTGGGTAGAAGTATTTACTAGTCCAGCCCATAGCAGTTTGGTTGCGCGGGAGCGTCGCTTTATGAATCCATGTTCGTCGTTATGGGAATTGGCGTCTAAAACTATCTAGTTACATAGGATGTCCACTATTTTTGAAGCTGTTGGAAGTACAGTCATTGGTCTATGGTCCTGTGGCAGGGATCTCCCGTCGCTGAGGTATGATTTAGCAGTCTGCCAGAAGTGTAGCCTAGTTAAAGTATACCGAATAGAGTTTTGCTCAAATGGACAATGAAGTCTTGGTAGTCCCTGCACATTTACTGGTGTCAGGGTTTTGTCGTTGCATTTGACGTCATCTCTTGGATTTTGGCGGTGAGTTGATTAACGGAACCAGATTGTGGTGGTAAACTTTTTGGATGTTCACATTCCCCTTTCCAATAGTGTCAGTAAGAATTGTACATCCAAGGCCTCTGCGACCTCCATGAGGGTGTCACAGTTGTGTTGCTGTTTGCAGTGAGGCTTGGCATAAGTAACTAGCTTGGCTAGGTTTTTCTCCAGAATATATTACTAATCTAGATTGTGATCCGCACTTACTGTATCTCACTTCAGAAGTCGCTTTCTTACCGCCACGTAGACCTCATATGCCAATTTTTTTTGTGTGCGGTGTAATGGATGGCTTTGTTCCGTTTGAACCTGAGAAGAGGAATAAATATAGTAACTGCTTGAGTTACTATATTCTGAAAGTGCGGCCAAAGTACTATATTCCAAGAAGTGATGGAAAAGTGTCTTCGATATTTCCTTGAATTTTACTCAATGGGATTTGCGTTCCCCGAAGAACGTACTGTGTTTATTGCTAGACTAATAGATGCACGTGAAGGCTGTGGTGACGGCCGCTGTGACAAAGCAGCAAAGTAGCGTATCTCTCACTCCCAAAAGACGCGTGTTAGCCTACGGTACGGGCTGTTTCGCTGTGTGGACGTTGAATGTGATCTCGAGCAACCGAACAAAGATGTATTCGGGTGTTGGTTGCTCCTGGTCGTTGCCAGCGAATCCGCAACGAGGCGATTCGGTTGTGCAACAGGAGCCTCAATCGAAGAATATGTCCAGCGCCAAAGGCTACGATGGTTTGTTTTATGTATTGCCCATGTCGATCCATTACGGAAGAGTGCCGTTATCTGCATCCAGTTCAGAGTGGTGCAAGCAGAGAGATGGTCAATGTTTGACTTGGCATGAAACCTATTACGAAAAGACTGCATAATATCGGCACGGGTCGCCTTCTAGGACAAAGTACGCGTGATCTCCCTTATATATGGATGGAGTCGCAAGATATAGCTGCTATTCCACGTCGGCGAAGTTCGTATTGTCCGTTTGGTCCAGATTGAAGGTGTCTGGATGTGCAGTCGCCTCGTGATGATTGTGGTAGTTTAACACTAGTTCTCTTCCCCATCTACTTTTCACAATAAGGCTGTGTAGCTGTGAAACGTCAGTGTTGAGCACTGAGGTACTCTCAATGATGTGTTTTTCATGTGCCTACCGCTAGAAGACAACAGATTAATTTTTCACGTATGCTCGAACTTCCCTTGGCGACCACGAATCATGGTTCATGACGGTTAGGTACGGTCAGACTAATTTTCTCGGTCCGGAGAATATCTCGGTTTGTTTCATTTTGTTAGCCGTTATACAATAATAATAGCATCCTTTCGCTGCCTAGCTGCCATGCCACCCAAGGGAAGCACCAGGGCTGGGATACTGCCAGTTTGCGCAGGCCTAGAAAGGAGAAGTCGATAGGTGGGGGTCGGGTTCGAAACACGGACATTTAGGTCAGTGGATTCGCGCTCTAACCACTTAACCATCTCGCCCCTGTTAGCCGCCACCTGTGCACATAAGTACGTTGGTCCATACAGTTTGGTTTGACTGGGACGGAAAGTGATGGAACCATAGACGGGCGACAAAGGCAATTGCATGACGAGTTACGCTTTTCCCAGTTTTTAGATGGCTTTGGCTCGCGGGCCTTATCAGTAATGTATTAGAACCATATATGTCACTAGCCATGAACTTTCGCCGTGCCCTTCATCCGAGGAGACCGAGTTTATTGATCGAGGCCCTTGTACTTCGTCGCTTTGTAACCGCGTGCACCACCCGCGGCAGAATGAAGTGCACTGTGAAACCGGTGGTTCACTTGCGTGCGAAATGAAGGCTCTAACCAGCGCAACCTATGGGGTGTGATTGGTTCACTTGTTGTATTACAGTTCTTTCTAAAACCATCTAACCTACTCCAACTGATGTTTCTACCAGACCTGGTCTGCACTTCCGGGACACTGAGATTCAGTCCACATGAGCATGGCGTTTGTCGCATTGTCCGTTCCGTTTTGGCAGACGAGCTGATGTCACGGCCGCACCATTGTTTTTGGGGATTGGAAAAAGCTTCTGTTACCCTTCCGATTCGATAAGTGAGTTCATCATCCCGCCGGAACTCATAGCCGCATTTGCTAGTGAGTTGGCTCACCACATCGACCGAATCGTCTGAGGGTAGCCTATTTGGATTCTGACCCACTCGTTGCCATAACAGCTCATGCCTTGAATTTTGCAGGTGTGAAGCGATGTCAGAAAACGTAACCTAATCGGCTAGATTGGTAATGCAGTTTGTGAAGTTATGCAAAGGAAACAACTTAATCAGCACGTAAGGAGCGCCCCACTCAAGACCTAGACTACAGGCGCCGTTAAGGCTCGAGTTTCGAAGTTGAGGTGGGTAGCGATAGATGATAGTCTGCCAGGTACCACGTAATGTAAGCTCAGAATAAGGCTTCGGGTTAAGAAGGCGGTAG